CACACACACACACACACAACACACAACACACCACACATAACACACACACACACACACACAAACACACACACACAACACACACACACACAACACACACACACACACACACACACACACACACACACACACACACACACACACACACACACACACACACACACACACACACACACACACAAACACACACACACAACACACACACACACACACACACACACACACACACACAACACACACACACACACACACACACACACACACACACAACACCAGAACACACACACACACACACACACACACAGACACGACACACACACACACACACACACACACAAAACACCACACACAGAGACACACACACACACAACACACACACACACACACACACACACACACACACACACACACACACACCACACCACACACAACACACACAACACACACCAAACACACACACACACAGACACACACACACACACACACACAGACACAGACACACACCACCACACACACACACACACACACACACACAGACACACACACACACACACACACACACACACACACACACACACACACACACACACACACACACACACACAACACACACACACACACACACACACACACACACACACACACACACACACACACACACACACAACACACACACACACACACACACACACACAACACACACACACACACAACACACACACACACACACAACACACACAGACACACACACACACACACACACACACACACACACACACACACACACACACACACACACACACACACACACAGACACACAACACACACACACACACACACCACACACACACACACAGACACACACACACACACACACACACACACACACACACACACACAACACACACACACACACACACACACACACACACACACACACAGACACACACACACACACACACACACCACACACACACACACACACACACACACACACAGACACACACACACACACACACACACACACACACACAGACACACAACACACACACACACACACACACAGACACACACACACACACACAGACACACACACACACACACACACACACACACACACACAGACACACAACACACACACACACACACACAACACACACACACACACACACACACACACACACAGAACACACACACACACAGACACACAGAGGTTTAATGTTTCAGTTTCATTGTTACAGAAACAGTTGGTGAAACGTTTCACTCACTTTTCCCTTTTTACTTTTTGCTGCAGAAACAGAAGCTTCATGTGAAACCTGCAAAAACAAACACACAAAAGATCAATATTTTAAATAAACTCAGTTTAATTGATTATTTCATCCATCCATCCATTTTCGTCCGCTTATCCGGGGTCGGGTCGCGGGGGGAGCAGCCTAAGCAGGGACTCCCAGACTTCCTTCACCCCAGACACGTCCTCCAGCTCCTCCGGGGGGACCCCGAGGCGTTCCCAGGCCAGCCGAGAGACATAGTCCCTCCAGCGTGTCCTGGGTCTTCCCCGGGGCCTCCTCCCGGCGGGACATGCCCGGAACACCTCCCGAGGGAGGCGCCCAGGAGGCATCCGGAACAGATGCCCGAGCCTCAACTGGCTCCTCTCGACGTGGAGGAGCAGCGGCTCTACTCCGAGCTCCTCCCGTGTGACTGAGCTCCTCACTCTATCTCTAAGGGAGCGCCCAGCCACCCTGCGGAGGAAACTCATTTCGAGCGCTTGTATCCGCGATCTCGTCCTTTCGGTCACTACCCAGAGCTCATGACCAGAGGTGAGAGTAGGAACGAAGACTGACCGGTAAATCGAGAGCTTCGCCTTTCGACTCAGCTCCCTCTTCACCACAACGGTCCGATACAGCGACCGCATCACTGCCGAAGCTGCACCGATCCGCCTGTCAATCTCACGTTCCGTCCTTCCCTCACTCGTGAACAAGACCCCGAGATACTTGAACTCCTCCACTTGAGGCAAAGACTCCCCACCCACCCGGAGAGGGCAAGCCACCTTTTTCCGGTCGAGAACCATGGCCTCGGACTTGGAAGAGCTGATCTTCATCCCAGCCGCTTCACACTCGGCTGCAAACCGCCCCAGTGCACATTGCAGGTCCTGGTTCGATGAAGCCAACAGGACAACATCGTCCGCAAACAGCAGAGATGAAATCCTGTGGTCCCCAAACCGGACCCCCTCCGGCCCCTGACTGCGCCTAGAAATTCTGTCCATAAATACAATGAACAGAACCGGTGACAAAGGGCAGCCCTGGCGGAGTCCAACATGCACCGGGAACAGGTCTGACTTACTGCCGGCAATGCGAACACAGCTCCTGCTCCGGTCATACAGGGACCGGACAGCCCTTAGCAAAGGGCCCCGGACCCCATACTCCCAGAGCACCCCCCACAGGACACCACGAGGGACACGGTCGAATGCCTTCTCCAGATCCACAAAACACATGTGGACTGGTTGGGCAAACTCCCATGAACCTCGAGCACCCGATGGAGAGTGTAGAGCTGGTCCAGTGTTCCACGGCCAGGACGAAAACCACACTGCTCCTCCTGAATCCGAGGTTCGACTATCGGCCGGATTCTCCTCTCCAGTCCCTGGCATAGACCTTACCGGGAAGGCTGAGGAGTGTGATCCCCCTATAGTTGGAACACACCCTCCGGTCCCCCTTCTTATACAGAGGGACCACCACCCCGGTTTGCCAGTCCAGAGGTACTGTCCCCGACCGCCACGCGATGTTGAAGAGGCGTGTCAGCCAAGACAGCCCCACAACATCCAGAGACTTTAAGGTACTCAGGACGGATCTCATCCAACCCCGGAGCCTTGCCACCAAGGAGCTTGCCAACCACCTCAGTGACTTCGGCCAGGGTGATGGATGAGTCCGCCTCCGAGTCCCCAGCCTCGGCCTCCTCCTCGGAGGACGTGACGGTGGGATTGAGGAGATCCTCAAAGTTTTCCTTCCACCGCCGGACAACGTCCCCAGTCGAGGTCAACAGCTCTCCCCCCGCACTGTAAACAGTGTTGGTGAAGAACTGCTTTCCCCTCCTGAGGCGCCGGACGGTTTGCCAGAATCTCTTTGAGGCCGTCCGATAGTCCTTCTCCATGGCCTCCCCGAACTCCTCCCAGCTCCGAGTTTTTGCCTCCGCGACCACACGGGCTGCAGCACGCTTGACCCGCCGGTACCTGTCAGCTGCTTCAGGAGTCCCCCGAGCCAGCAAGGCCCGATAGGACTCCTTCTTCAGCTTGACAGCATCCCTTACTTCCGGTGTCCACCACCGGGTTCTGGGGTTGCCGCCGCGACAGGCACCACAGACCTTACGCCCACAGCTCCGAGCAGCCGCATTGACAATAGAGGCCGAGAATGAAGCCCACTCGGACTCCATATCTCCAGCCTCCCCCGGAATCCGGGAGAAGTCCTCCCGGAGGTGCGAGTCCCTCTGACAGAGGCTCCGCCAGACGTTCCCAACAGACCCTCACTACACGCTTGGGTCTGCCAGGTCTTTCCGGCTTATTGCCAGCTGCCGGCTGATTATTTCAGATTTATTTAACTGTAAATGTCCGTTTTAATCAGAAACAGAAACCTCAGATTTACTTTTCATAACGTCTCATCTGCAAATAAACACTGAAAATACTCAGAATATTTCTCATTTATGACACAAGAGAGAAATAAAACCTACAGGAGACAAACATGTTTGTTCTGTTCACTCCAGTCAGTGTCATTTTCACTCCGTTTCATGTGGTTTTTTGTCACTTACTTGAAGAATTTGATGTTGGACTCGTTTATATTTCCCCATTTAAACTGACGACCGACTGTGGATCACCAACGATCTCCAACAACCAAGCACAAAAAGAACAAGAATTTAAGAGTTTTGACTCTTAATGTAGTTTTGTGTCAAGAGAATCAAGACCAAGACCAGGACAAGACCAGGACAAGACCAGGATAAGACCAGGAGAAGACCAGGACAAGACCAGACAGGACAAGACCCAGAGTCCAGAGACCAGGACAAGACCAGGACAAGACCACAGAGTCCAGAGACCAGGACAAGACCAGGACAAGACCACAGAGTCCAGAGACCAGGACAAGACCAGGATAAGACCACAGAGTCCAGAGACCAGGACAAGATCAAGACCTGAGGGTCGAGACTGAGACAAGACTAAGACCACAGCCCCTCGAGACCAAATCAAGACCATGTTTGTCATTTACAACATTTCTTTTGTATTTTACAGTTGGTTTGAAAAGTCCGAGTTCAAGCTCCTTCAAGACCAAGACGAGACCGAGAAATTCAAACACGGTGATGTTGAAAACAAAACAAACACATCTGTGGTTTTTTAGAGGAAATTACAACGTTGTGAAAACAAAAAGTCGGTTAAAAGTTTCATCACAGTTGTTCTTTTTCTTAAAGCTCAGTTACCTTATTTTCAGACCTTTGCTCCTGCCCCTGCTCCTGCCGCTCCTGCCGCTCCTGCCGCTCCTGCCGCTCCTGCCCCTGCCCCTGCGGGCGCGGGCTGAACACCGTGGGCACGGCGTCCTCTCTCAGGGTGATGCACTTTCCCGTTCGGTCCAGATGTTTCTCCTCAAAATGAAGGATGCACAAAACCGAAAACCTCGACGGAGTCCAGTCCTCACGACCCATACTCCCCAACCAGCGCCGCAGCTTCCTCGGGTTATACAGAGGAAACCTGAGGGCCAAGAAAGACCGGGTTTAGACCGGGTTTAGACCTGGTTTAGACCTGGTTTAGACCTGGTTTAGACCTGGTTTAGACCTGGTTTAGACCTGGTTTAGTCCTGGTTTAGTCCTGGTTTAGACCTGGTTTAGACCTGGTTTAGACCTGGTTTAGTCCTGGTTTAGTCCTGGTTTAGTCCTGGTTTAGACCTGGTTTAGTCCTGGTTTAGACCTGGTTTAGACCTGGTTTAGTCCTGGTTTAGTCCTGGTTTAGTCCTGGTTTAGTCCTGGTTTAGTCCTGGTTTAGACCTGGTTTAGACCTGGTTTAGACCTGGTTTGGACCTGGTTTGGTGGTTTGGTTTAGTCCTAGTTCAGTCCTGTTTTAAACCTGGAATAGTCCTGGAATAGTCCTAGAATAGTCCTGGAATAGTCCTGGAATAGTCCTGGAATAGTCCTGGAATAGTCTCGGTTTTCACCTGGTTTATTCTTGGTTTTGTGAATTCTTATTTTAGACCTATTTTAATGGACATTTTTAGTCCTGGTGTAATGTGTTTTTTTTCTAGTTTAGACCCTGATTTTTCCCTTTTTACGCTGCAACAAGTGATAAAACAATAAAAAGCCACATTTATATTTAAAAATCTGAGTCTTGGTTCATCTGTTATTGACCAAAGACTGTTTCACTGTTTTATTTCCTTATTTATTGTTGCTAAATAAACACTCCTATAAAGCTCTTTGACCCAGCAGGAGGCACAGTTTCATTTGGTTCTCTGTAGAAAAATGAAAATTGCATTGAAAATTTAATTATATTCTCATAAATGATTAGATTTTATATGTGTCCCGTGAAAAAGACAATGTAAATGTGGAATAAAAAAAGGACAAAACTCTGACTAAAAAGGGCTAAACCTCAAACTAAAATAAAATAAAACAGGACAAGCAGCATCCACTAAAATAGAAGACGAGTTAAAGCAAATAAAATGTGTTTTAAAAGTATAAAAACACAATTAGAGCGCAGTTTTGGAGCCTCAATTTGCTCTAATTTGTTGATTAAACCGTTGTTGACGTTCGCGTCTCCGTCAGTAAAGAGTCTCTGGTGTCATTTTTTTACTACGTTTTACGCGTTTTTTCGCCACTTACTTGAAGAATTTGATGTCCGACTCACTGGAACTTTCACAGTTATCCGCACAGCATTTATATCTCCCCATTTAGACTTTTATTCCCGAGAATCGAGCCCAAAAATCACAATAATTGAAGAGTTTAGGTCGAAGTAGCAGCGTTAGCATTTAGCAACAGAAACACGCTAGCATCCGGTCCGAGCTTTCACAATAAACCGCTGATTTATTCGGAATTTTTGCTGTATTTTTAAGTTAAGTCACTGCATATAGCTAATTAAATATTCGGAGTAAATTTACAGCATATAAAATGTTTAGTGCGGTGTAAATATTTAGTTAAAACATGAATAAATTAACTTTTCCCGGTGAGATTTACGTTAGCATTACACAGGAAGTCGGTTACTCTCCCGCTCTCTGCTGCCCCCTGCTGTTAGTCCTGGACCATTACACTACAATTATAATAAATAAAATAAAATAAAATAATGTCAAAGTTTAAGAAACAACAAAATCATAAACCAAAGAAAAAAGCACAAGACAAACCCAGTTTATGTCCCTCTGTGTCCCCTGTCCCAGTAAAATTATACAAAACCACAAGAAATGTCCCAAGTGTCGCTATTTTGACCAATCTGATCTAAACCAGGATTAAACCAGGACTAAACCAGGACTAAACTAAGACTAAACCAGGACTAAACAAAAACTAAACCAGGATTAAACCAGGACTAAACCAGGACTAAACTGAGACTAAACCAGGATTAAACTAAAACTAAACCAGGATTAATCCAGGACTAAACCAGGACTAAACCAGGTCTAAACCAGGTCTAAACCAGGACTATCACAGTTTGTGTTTAATCTGATCCCTGCCAACAGAAAACAGGAGCATAAATTGTGGTTTATTTAACAAAAAACAGAAAACATTGCTTAAAAATGACCATAAAATAAAGGGATCAGATTTTACAAAATTCTAAACTGGGACACGCTCGGGTTTGGAGGTTTGGTGTAAATAAAACAGTAAAAGAGTCGAACATTGTGGAGTCTCGTGTCAGTCGTGACCTGAGGAACTTCTGTTGTTGCTTATTTCTTTTAATGTTCATTCACAAACACGGTTCTGTATTTTGGCCAAACAAATAATAATTTATGCTCCTGTTTACTGTTGGCAGGATCAGATTAAACACAAACTGTGATAGTCCTGGTTTAGACCTGGTTTAGTCCTGGTTTAGACCTGGTTTAGACCTGGTTTAGTCCTGGTTTAGTCCTGGTTTAGTCCTGGTTTAGACCTGGTTTAGTCCTGGTTTAGTCCTGGTTTAGTCCTGGTTAGTCCTGGTTTAGTCCTGGTTTAGACCTGGTTTAGTCCTGGTTTAGTCCTGGTTTAGAGACCTGGTTTAGACCTGGTTTAGTCCTGGTTTAGTCCTGGTTTAGTCCTGGTTTAGTCCTGGTTTAGTAGTCCTGGTTTAGAGTCCTGGTTTAGTCCTGGTTTAGACCTGGTTTAGTCCTGGTTTAGTCCTGGTTTAGTCCTGGTTTAGTCCTGGTTTAGACCTGATTTAGTCCTGGTTTAGACCTGGTTTAGTCCTGGTTTAGTCTTAGTTTAGTCCAGAAAATGACCAAAACACAAAGAAAATGTGACGATTCTACATTTTATTTTATTTTTAATATGAAATTCCAAAAAAACCCCAAAGGAAAACTGGCTCAAACAAAAATTCATTTAACTTTTAAAAAATTAGAAACTTTGGTCAAAGGTCAAACGTGGTCGGTCGGGCCAGTCCGGTCCATCGGGTCAGTCCGGTCCATCAGGTCGGTCGGGTCGGTCGGGTCAGTCGGGTCAGTCCGGTCCATCGGGTCGGTCGGGTCCAGTCGGTCGGGTCCAGTCGGTCGTCAGTCGGTCGGTCCATCGGGTCGGGTCGGGTCAGTCCGGTCCATCGGGTCGGTCGGGTCAGTCGGGTCAGTCGGGTCAGTCTGGTCCATCGGGTCGGTCGGGTCGTCGGTCGGTCGGGTCAGACAAAGGCCCCGGTTCAGTTTGATTTGGATTTGATCTGGATCCTCCACTCGTCCCAGTTCAACTGGTTTCTGCTCGTGTCCCACTCGGTCTCATCCAGAGCTGAAAAAAATAAAAAACATTAAAAATAAAAATCTGAAGAATTAAGAAAAACAAAGTAAAAAAACAAACAAAACAAACACGTTCGGACTTTTTGTTTTACTCACATTTCATAAAAGAGTCAAAATGTTTCTCCACAAGTTTTTCACTTTGGTCCAAAAGATCCAAGAATCCTGAAGAAGAAAAGAGACGAGATCAGGACTAAACCAGGACTAAACCAGAACTAAACCAGGACTAAACCAGGACTAAACCAGGACTAAACCAGGACTAAACCAGGAAAACCAGGACTAAACCAGGACTAAACCAGGACTAAACCAGACTAAACCAGGACTAAACCAGGACTAAACCAGACTAAACCAGGAAACCAGGACTAAACTAAACCAGGGACTAAACCAGGTAAACTCTAAACCAGGACTAAACCAGACTAAAAAACCAGGACTGAACCAGAACTAAACCAGACTAAACCAGGACTAAACCAGGACTAAACCAGGACTGAACCAGCTAAACCAGACTGAAACCAGGACTAAACCAGGACTAAACCAGGACTGAACCAGGACTGAACCAGGACTAAAACCCAGGACTAAACCAGGACTGAAACTAAACCAGGACTGAACCAGGACTAAACCAGGACTAAACCAGGAAACCAGAAACAGGACTAAACCAGGACTGAACCAGAACTAACCAGGACTAACCAGGAAAACTAAACCAGGACAAACCAGATAAACTCAGGAAACCAGGACTAAACCAGGACTCCAGGACTAACCAGGACTAAACCAGGAAAAAACCAGCCAGACTAAACCAGGACTAAACCAGAACTAAACCAGGTCTAAACCAGAACTAAACCAGGACTAAACCAGGACTAAACCAGGTCTAAACTAAACCAGAACTAAACCAGACTGAACCAGGTCTAAACCAGAACTAAAACCAGGTCTAAACCAGGTCTAAACCAGGACTAAACCAGGTCTAAACCAGTAAACCAGAACTAAACCAACTAAACAGGTCTAAACCAGGACTAAACCAGGACTAACCAGGACTACTGAACCAGGACAAACCAGGACTAAACCAGGACTAAACCATAACCACTAAACCAGGACTGAACCAGGACTAAACCAGGACTACACAAACAAACAGGACTCAAACCAACTAAACCAGGACACAGGACTAAACCAGTAAACCAGAATGAGGTTCTTCAGACTCAGGGCCTGACACATGGATTTAAACTCGTCTCTAACTGAAGCTCCCTGAAGTAAACACACACACACACAACAAAAACACACACACCTGAAAAACACACACACATCATAAACACACACAACCTGAAAAACACACACACATCATAAACACACACAACCTGAAAAACACACACACATCATAAACACACACAACCTGAAAACACACACAAACATCATAAACACACAACCTGAAAAACATAAACACACACAACAAAACACGAAAAACACACACACACATCACACAATGAAAAACACACATCATAAACACACACAACACACATCATAAACACACAACCTGAAAAACACACACACATCATAAACACACACAACCTGAAAAACACACACACATCATAAACACACACAACCTGAAAAACACACACACATCATAAACACACACACATAAAACACACACAACCTGAAAAACACACACATCATAAACACACAACCTGAAAAACACACACACATCATAAACACACACAACCTGAAAAACACACACACATCATAAAAACACACAACCTGAAAAACACACAACATCATAAACACACAAACCTGAAAAACACACACACATCATAAACACACAACCTGAAAAACACACACACATCATAAACACACAACAAAACACACACAATGAAAAACACACACACACAACAACATGAAAAACACACACAAACACACACAACAAAAACACATGAAAAACACACACACAATCACACACACACAAAACACACAAACCTGAAAAACACACACATAACATCACATGAAAAACACACAAACATCATGAAAAACACACACACATCATAAACACACACAACCTGAAAAACACACACACATCATAAACACACAACCTGAAAAACACACACACATCATAAACACACACAACCTGAAAAACACACACACATCATAAACACACAACCTGAAAAACACACACACATCATAAACACACACAACCTGAAAAACACACACAAACATCATAAACACACATGAAACACACACAACCTGAAAAACACACACACATCATAAACACACACAACCTGAAAAACACACACATAAACATGAAAAACACATGAAAACACACACAATAAACACACAACCTGAAAACACACACAACCTGAAAAACACACAAACATCATAAACACACAACCTGAAAAACACACACACATCATAAACACACACAACACATGTCATAAACACACAACAACGAAAAACACACACACAACATGTCATAAACACAATTGTTGTTCTGAAAAACACACATGTGTTTTTGTATAAACACACAACCTGTTTTGATTTAAACCAGTGACTCTGTGTCACTTTTCACCCTCCAGTGAGTTAAAGTTAAAGTTAAAGTTAAAGTTAAAGTTAAAGTTAAAGTTAAAGTTAAAGTTAAAGTTAAAGTTGCACTTGTGTAAATCCACAGTCTGAGTCTGAGTCTCTGTTCAATCTGCAGGTTTAATCTGATGTTTTTTCGAGCTCGTTCACATTTCCAGTTAAATGTGACTTGTGTGTGACTCCAGTGTGAACATTAAACGGTCCAAAAGTGTCCCACATGTGACACTGGAGACACGACGACGTCAACCGCAGCGTCTGTGTTTACACCTGGAGATTTTAAAGTTCCTCTCGTACCGGAGCCACAACATGAACAACTGACTTGTTTTAAGGAGGAGATTGAGAAGGAGAAGGAGCAGGTTTTTGGTGGTGGTGTTTTGTGGTGAGTGGAGATGTGCTTCACTTCAGTCACATGGATCATGAACAGTTTTCTCTACTTCAGTGCAGAATAGTGACGTTTGTGTCTTGTTGATGACGTGTAGGTGGATGAATGTGACCTGACTGTTCACACTCAAGTCACATGTTAAAGATCAGATATGGATCAGTTTCAGGAGCACAGATCCAAGTGTCCTGGTCACATGTGAAAACATCACATCTGTGTGGTTCAGACATGAAAAGATCAGATACAGAAACATAGAGACAAAACATCTGATCTGAGTCACTTCAGGAGCATCTGAACTCAGACTTGTGTTTATCGTCTCACATGTTCCACAACACAAACAATCAGGTCAAAAACACTTTGCCCCTGTCAGCAGCACCTGTCAGCAGCACCTGTCAGCAGCACCTGTCAGCAGCACCTGTCAGCAGCACCTGTCAGCAGCACCTGTCGCCGCCTTCTGGACCCTTAAACATGTTGAAGAGGGCACCACACTGCCACACAGTGGAGGAAGGACAAAGCAACAGGCAAGTAACAAATAAAAGGTGAAACTGTCTCCTACACTTGCTCTTTCTCACTGACAACATCTCCAAACTTTTCCATGACTTTATCATGAACCAAAGTGAATTTTCCATGACTTTACAGCACCTACATGTGAAGAACTGACCAGACTTTTAGGTCTAAATCTGAAACATTGAAACATTAACTCTTTCACTCACCTTAAGTTTGGGATTATAGTTTCTGAACTTTCTCAATCCTGTCAGTGTTTTTACAGACTCATGAAAACTGAACACAACACATTTTCAATTTCCATGACTTTTCCAGGATTTCCATGACCATGGGAATCCTGCTCCCTACAAGCAGCAGGTGGACCTGGTGAAACTGACAGAGCCTCATTAAATCAGTTCTGGTTCCTCTGGTTCCTCTGGTGGCTCTGGTTCCTCTGGTTCCTCTGGTTCCTCTGGTTCCTCTGGTTCCTCTGGTGGCTCTGGTTCCTCTGGTTCCTCTGGTTCCTCTGGTTCCTCTGGTGCTCTGGTTCTCTGGTTCCTCTGGTTCCTCTGGTTCCTCTGGTTCCTCTGGTGGCTCTGGTTCCTCTGGTTCTCTGGTTCTGGTTCTGGTTCTCTGGTGGCTCTGGTGGCTCCTCTCTGGTGGCTCTGGTGCTCTGGTGGCTCTGGTTCCTCTGGATCCTCTGGCTCTGGTTCCTCTGGTGGCTCTGGTGGCTCTGGTTCTCTGGTTCCTCTGGTGGCTCTGGTTCCTCTGGTTCCTCTGGTTCCTCTGGTTCCTCTGGTTCCTCTGGTGGCTCTGGTTCCTCTGGTCTCTGGTGGCTCTGGTTCCTCTGGTTCCTCTGGTTCCTCTGGTTCCTCTGGTTCCTCTGGTGGCTCTGGTTCCTCTGGTTCCTCTGGTTCTGGTCTCTGGTTCCTCTGGTGGCTCTCTGGTGGCTCTGGTGGCTCTGGTTCCTCTGGTGGCTCTGGTTCTGGTCTCTGGTGGCTCTGGTGGCTCTGGGTTCTCTCTGGTCTCTGGTTCCTCTGGTTCCTCTGGTTCCTCTGGTTCCTCTGGTTCCTCTGGTTCCTCTGGTGCTCTGGTTCTGGTGGCTCTGGTTCCTCTGGTTCCTCTGGTTCCTCTGGTTCCTCTGGTGGCTCTGGTTCCTCTGGTGGCTCTGGTGGCTCCTCGGTGACTTGGAGCTCGTTTGGTCGCGGGTCGAGCTTCGTCCCTCGTCTTCTTCACTCACCACAAACAAGAAAAGACATCATGAGTCTCCCCTCCCATGATGCATCTGGAGCAGTTGGTTTGGACCTTCTGTCTCTGGGTTGGACCTGAGTTGGCGTCAGCAGAGCGACCAGAGTTTGATGTTTGGTGCAGAGTCGAGCGACCAAAACCATGGCTTTTTTGAATCTCGGTCCTTTTAATTTAGTGCAGATGTGAGAGTGACTGAAGCTTTTATACCAACAGAAACTGACGAAAAACAACGAAAAACCAACAGAAACAAACAAAAACAAACAAAAACAAACAAAAACAAACAAAAACAAACAAAAACAAACAGAAACAAACAAAAACACAACAGAAACAAACAAAAACAAACAAAAACAAACAAAAACCAACAAGAGTTTCTGGATCCAGTGGAACTTTTGTCCTGAAAGAACCTGAATGTGTTTTTAGTTTTCGGTTCTTGTGAGGTTCCTGCTCCAGACTCACCGTTTCTGACCCCGATGAGGAAGCGTCTCTCCTGCCCCCGTCTGGTCACTCGCTCAAACTCCTCTGGACTGAAACAAGAACAAACAAACATTTTGTTTTTAGAGAAAAAAAGTGTCACAACTGAAAAGATCTGAAAATCACAAATCTGAAAAACTGTGAATAAACGAACCTGTGGACGAGATCCTGCAGCCGAACTCCCAACAGAACCGGAACAGAACCAACGAACCCTGAAACACACAACTATTACACTGAACCAGGACTAAACCAGGACTAGACCAGGACTGAACCAGGACTAAACCAGGACTAAACCAGGACTAAACCAGGACTAAACCAGGACTAAACCAGGACTAAACCAGGAAACCAGGACTAAACCAGGACTGAACCAGGACCTAAACCAGGACTAAACCAGGACTGAAACCAGAACCAGGACTAACCAGGTCTAACCAGGACTAAACCAGGACTGAACCAGGACTAAACCAGGACTAAGAAACCAGGACTAAACCAGGACTAAACCAGGAACCAGGACTAAACCAGGACTAAACCAGGACTGAAAGGACTAACCAGGACTAAACCCAGGACTAAACTAAACCAGGACTAGAACCAGGACTAAACCAGGACTAAACCAGGACTAAACCAGGACTAACCAGGACTAGGACTGAACCAGGAAAACCAGGACTAAACCAGGACTAAACCAGGACTAAACCAGGACTAAACCAGGACTAAACCAGGACTAAACTAAACCAGGACTGAACCAGGAAAACCAGGACTAAACCAGGACTAAACCAGGACTAAACCAAGGACTGAACCAGGTCTAAACCAGGACTAAACCAGGACTAAACCAGGAAACCAGGACTGAAACCAGGACTAAACCAGGACTAAACCAGGACTAAACCAGGACTAAACCAGGACTGAACCAGGACTAAACCAGGACTAAACCAGGACTAAACCAAGACTGAACCAGGACTAAACCAGGACTAAACCAGGACTAAACCAGGACTAAACCAAACCAGGACTAACCAGGACTAAACAGGAACCAGGACTAAACCAGGACTAAAACCAGGACTAAACCAGGACTAAACTAAACCAGACTAAAACCAGGACTAAACCAGGACTAAACCAGGACTAAACCAGGACTGAACCAGGTCTAAACCAGGACTAAACCAGGACTAAACCAGGACTAAACCAGGACTGAACCAGGTCTAAACCAGGACTGAACCAGAACCAGGACTAAACCAGGTCTAAACCAGGACTAAACCAGGACTGAACCAGGACTAGACCAGGACTGAACCAGGACTAGACCAGGACTAAACCAAGACTGAACCAGGTCTAAACCAGGACTAAACCAGGACTAAACCAGGACTGAAACCAGGACTAGACCAGGACTAAACCAGGACTAAACCAGGTCTAAACCAAGACTGAACCAGGTCTAAACCAGGTCTAAACCAGGACTAAACCAGGACTAAACCAGGACTAAACCAGGACTAAACCAGGACTAAACCAGGACTAAACCAGGACTAAACCAGGACTAAACCAGGACTAAACCAGGACTAAACCAGGACACAACCAGGACTAAACCAGGACTAAACCAGGACTAAACCAGGTCTAAACCAGGACTAAACCAAGACTGAACCAGGTCTAAACCAGGACTAAACCAGGACTAAACCAGGACTAAACCAAGACTGAACCAGGTCTAAACCAGGACTAAACCAGGACTAAACCAGGACTGAACCAGAACCAGGACTAAACCAGGTCTAAACCAGGACTAAACCAAGACTGAACCAGGTCTAAACCAGGTCTAAACCAGGACTAAACCAGGACTAAACCAGGACTAAACCAAGACTGAACCAGGTCTAAACCAGGACTAAACCAGGACTAAACCAGGACTAAACCAGGACTAAACCAGGTCTAAACCAGGACTAAACCAGGACTAAACCAGGACAAACCAGGACTAAACCAGGACTAAACCAGGACTAAACCAGGACTAAACCAGGACTAAACCAAGGACTGAAACCAGGTCTAAACCAGGACTAAACCAGGACTAAACCAGGACTAAACCAGGACTAAACCAGGTCTAAACCAGGACTAAACCAGGACTAAACCAGGACTAAACCAGGACTAAACCAGGACTAAACCAGGACCAGGACTAAACCAGGACTAAACCAGGCAGGTCTAAAACCAGGACTAAACCAGAACTAAACCAGGACTAAACCAGGACTAAACCAGGTCTAAACCAGGTCTAAACCAGGACTAAACCAGGACTAAACCAGGTCTAAACCAGGACTAAACCAGGACTAAACCAGGACTAAACCAGGTCTAAACCAGGACTAAACCAGGACTAAACCAGGTCTAAAACCAGGACTAAACCAGGACTAAACCAGGACTAAACCAGGACTAAACCAGGACTAAACCAGGACTAACCAGGTCTAAACCAGGACTAAACCAGAACTAAACCAGGACTAAACCAGGACTAACCAGGTCTAAACCAGGTCTAAACCAGGACTAAACCAGGACTAAACCAGGTCTAAACCAGGACTAAACCAGGACTAAACCAGGACTAAACCAGGACTAAACCAGGTCTAAACCAGGTCTAAACCAGGACTAAACCAGGTCTAAACCAGGTCTAGACCAGGTCTAAACAAGGACTAGACCAGGTCTAGACCAGGTCTAGACCAGGTCTAAACCAGGACTAAACCAGGACTAAACCAGGTCTAAACAATTTCTAAACCAGGACTAAACCAGGACTAAACCAGGTCTAAACCAGGTCTAGACCAGGTCTAAACCAGGACTAAACCAGGTCTAAACAAGGTCTAAACCAGGACTGAACCAGGACTAAACCAGGTCTAAACCAGGTCTAAACCAGGTCTGAACCTGGTCTAGACCAGCCTCACAGTTGCAGACGGGTTCTCTCTCGTTGGCGCGTCGCGGCGTCAGGATTTGGCCGTTTTGGACGAAGTTTCTCCAGACGAGGTCGAGTCGAGCTTCGTTGAACGTTTCCATGACGACGGCGCGGACGGCTTTGAAGTTGGACACGAGATGGAGGAAGGTGAAGAGCGCGAAGAGGAAGAGCGTCAACCTGAGGACACACGACGTAACACACTGTGATGTCATCAGGTGGGCACACAGCATGTGCTCCACCGTGTTTTTAAACTCCACACACCTGCACTAGAATCACCTGGAACATTTTAGTCCTGGGATGGACTTTATACTGAACTCTGCTGCTGAACCTGGACGAGAACCTGGACTAGAACCAGAGCTTCAACCGGAACTAGAACTGGAACTAAACCGGGACTAGAACTGAAGTAAACCGGAACTAAACCGGGACTTGAACCAGGACTTGAACCAGGACTTGAATTGGGAACAAATGTGGACTAAAGCAGGACTGAACCAGGTCTAACCAGGACTTGAAAACGACCACTTTATGACATCACAAGGTGCGTCACGTGTTCTGAACAGAGAGTGAGTCAAACACGTGTGAATGAAACAAACACAAAGGTCCAACTCTGTGACGAGGAAACAGGACAAAACCACGTCTGTTTCTCCAGGTGTTTTTCACCTGCGACAAAACCACCTGCGACTTCATCAATGTAAAGTCGAGCGGAACGTTCCGGACGGAGCAGCGACGTCTCCATGGAAACGAACAGCAAAAAAGTGACAGAGTGCAGCTTTAAGGGAAAACTCACGGAGCGTTTTCTGTGACGAGAGGAATGAGGAGCAAACTGACCAGGAGCCCAGCCAAGTTCACCAAGGTCTCCTGAAAAACAAAAACCAGGAACTGAACCAGGTCTGAACCAGGACTAAACCAGGAACCAGGACTAAACCAGGACTAAACCAGGACTGAACCAGGACTGAAAACCAGGACTGAACCAGGACTGAAACTAAACAGGACTAAACCAGGTCTAAACCAGGACTGAACCAGGACTGAACCAGGACTGAACCAGGACTAAACCAGGACTAAACTAAAACCAGGACTAAACCAGGACTAAACCAGGACTAAACCAGGACTAAAGGACTAAACCAGGTCTAAACCAGGAAACCAGGACTAAACCAGGACTAAAACCAGGACTAAACCAGGACTAAACTAAACAAACCAGGACTAAACCAGGACTAAAACCAGGACTAAAACCAGGACTGAAACCAGGACTAAACCAGGACTAAACCAGGACTAAACCAGGACTAAACCAGGACTAAACCAGGACTAAACCAGGACTAAACCAGGACTGAACCAGGACTAAACCAGGACTAAACCAGGACTAAACCAGGACTAAACCAGGACTAAACCAGGACTAAACCAGGACTAAACCAGAAACCACCAGGACTGAACCAGGACTGAACCAGGACTGAACCAGGACTGAACCAGGACTGAACCAGGACTGAACCAGGACTGAACCAGGACTGAAAGGACTGAACCAGGACTAACCAGGTCTACTAAACCAGGACTGAACCAGGAAACTAAACCAGGACTAAACCAGGACTAAACCAGGACTAAAGGACCAGGACTAAACCAGGACTGAAACCAGGACTGGACTAAACCAGGACTAACCACCCAGGACTGAAACACCAGGACTAAAGGACCAGGACTGAAACCAGGACTGGACTAAACCAGGACTAAACCAGACTAAACCAGGACTGAAACCAGGACTAAACCAGGACTGAACCAGGACTAAACCAGGACTGAACCAGGACTAAACCAGGAAACCAGGACTAAACCAGGACCCAGGACTAAACCAGGACTGAACCAGGACTAACCAGGACTAACCAGGACTAAACCAGGACTAAACCAGGACTAAACCAGGACTGAACCAGGACTGAAACCAGGACTAAACAGGACTGAACCAGGACTAAACCAGGACTAAACCAGGACTGAACCAGGACTGAAACCAGGACTAAACCAGGACTGAAAACCAGGACTAAACCAGGACTAACCAGGACCAGGACTAACCAGGACTGAACCACCAGGACTGAACCAGGACTAAACCAGGACCAGGACTAAACCAGGACTGAACCAGGACTAAACCAGGACTAAACCAGGACTAAACCAGGACTAAACCAGGACTGAACCAGGACTTAGGACTAACCAGGACTAAACCAGGACTAAACCAGGAAACCAGGACTAAACCAGGACTAAACCAGGACTAAACAGGACTAACCAGGACTAAACCAGGACTGAAAAACCAGGACTGAACCAGGACTGAACCAGGACTAAACCAGGACTAAACCAGGACTGAACAGGACTAAACCAGGACTCTAAAAACCAGGACTCTAAACCCAGGACTAAACCAGGACTAAACCAGGACTGAACAGACCAGGACTAAACCAGGACTAAACCAGGACTAAACCAGAACCAGGTCTAAACCAGGACTAAACCAGGACTAAACCAGGACTGACCAGGACTGAACCAGGACTGAACCAGGACTAAACCAGGACTAAACTAAACCAGGTCTAAACCAGGTCTAAACCAGGTAAACCAGGACTAAACCAGGACTAAACCAGACTAAACAGGACTAAACCAGGACTCCAGGTAAACCAGGACTGACTGAACCAGGACTGAACCAGGACTAAACCAGGACTAAACCAGAACCAGGACTAAACCAGGACTAAAACCAGGACTAAACCAGGTAAACCAGGACTAAACCAGGACCAGACCAGGACTAAACCAGGACTAAACCAGGACTGAACCAGGTCTAAACCAGGACTGAACCAGGACTGAAACCAGGACTGGAACCAGGACTAAACCAGGACTAAACCAGGACTAAACCAGGTCTAGACCAGGACTGTACCAGGACTAAACCAGGACTAAACCAGGACTAAACCAGGACTAAACCAGGTCTAAACCAGGTCTAAACCAGGTCTAGACCAGGACTGTACCTGGCTCCCGTCTTTGGCAGAGATGTCGGCCATGTTGTCTCGTCGGGCCTGGTGGACGGTCAGGGCGGCGCGAGTCGCTCCTCCGGCGACGCCGACGATCGACTGAAACGAGACGAAGACGAAACGCGACGAATTAAAACGACGGAGACGCAGAGAAACAACACAGGACCTGAGTCTCGTGTCCGACTGTCTCGTGTCCGACTGTCTCGTGTCCGACTGTCTCGTGTCCGACTGTCTCGTGTCCGACTGTCTCGTGTCCGACTGTCCGACTGTCTCGTGTCCGACTGTCTATGTCGACTGTCTATGTCCGACTGTCTCGTGTCCGACTGTCTATGTCCGACTGTCTCGTGTCGACTGTCTATGTGTCGTCCGACTGTCTCCGACTGTCTCGTGTCCGACTGTCTCGACTGTCTCGTGTCGACTGTCTATGTCCGACTGTCTCGTGTCCGACTGTCTATGTCTGACTGTCTCGACTGTCTATGTCCGACTGTCTCGTGTCCGACTGTCTATGTCGACTGTCCGACTGTCTCGTGTCGACTGTCTCGTGTCCGACTGTCTCGTGACTGTCTCGTGTCCGACTGTCTCGTGTCCGACTGTCTCGTGTCCGACTGTCTCGTGTCCGACTGTCTGTGTCTGACTGTCTATGTCCGACTGTCCGTGTCCGACTGTCTCGTGTCCGACTGTCTATGTCCGACTGTCTCGTGTCCGACTGTCTCGTGTTCCGACTGTCTATGTCCGACTGTCTCGTGTACGACTGTCTCGTGTCCGACTGTCTATGTCTGACTGTCTCGTGTCGACTGTCTCGTGTCCGACTGTCTCGTGTCCGACTGTCTCGTGTCGACTGTCTATGTCTGACTGTCTGTGTCCGACTGTCTCGTGTCCGACTGTCTATGTCCGACTGTCTCGACTGTCCGACTGTCTCGTGTCCGACTGTCTCGTGTCCGACTGTCTCGTGTCCGACTGTCTGTGTCTGTCTACTGTCTGTCGATGTCTGTCGACTGTCTGTCCGACTGTCCGTGTCCGACTGTCTATGTCCGACTGTCTCGTGTCCGACTGTCTCGTGTCCGACTGTCTATGTCCGACTGTCTCGTGTACGACTGTCTCGTGTCCGACTGTCTATGTCTGACTGTCTCGTGTACGACTGTCTCGTGTCCGACTGTCTCGTGTCCGACTGTCTCGTGTCCGACTGTCTCGTGTCCGACTGTGTCTCGACTGTCTCGTGTCCGACTGTCTCGTGTCCGACTGTCTGTGTCCGACTGTCTGTGTCCGACTGTCTATGTCCGACTGTCTATGTCCGACTGTCTCGTGTACGACTGTCTATGTCCGACTGTCTATGTCCGACTGTCTGTGTCCGACTGTCTCGTGTACGACTGTCTATGTCCGACTGTCTGTGTCCGACTGTCTCGTGTACGACTGTCTCGTGTCCGACTGTCTATGTCCGACTGTCTCGTGTCCGACTGTCTCGTGTCCGACTGTCTCGTGTCCGACTGTCTCGTGTCCGACTGTGTCTCGTGTCCGACTGTCTGTGTCCGACTGTCTGTGTCCGACTGTCTATGTCCGACTGTCTATGTACGACTGTCTCGTGTACGACTGTCTATGTCCGACTGTCTATGTCCGACTGTCTGTGTCCGACTGTCTCGTGTACGACTGTCTATGTCCGACTGTCTGTGTCCGACTGTCCGACGACTGTCTCGTGTCCGACTGTCTCGTGTCCGACTGTCTATGTCCGACTGTCTCGACTGTCTATGTCCGACTGTCTCGTGTCCGACTGTCCATGTCCGACTGTCTATGTCCGACTGTCTGTGTCCGACTGTCTCGTGTACGACTGTCTCTGTCTCCGACTGTCTCGTGTCCGACTGTCTATGTCTGACTGTCTATGTCCGACTGTCTCGTGTCCGACTGTCTATGTCCGACTGTCTCGTGTACGACTGTCACGTCGTGTCCGACTCCTGTCTCGTCCGACTGTCTATGTCCGACTGTCTATGTCCGACTGTCTCGTGTCCGACTGTCTATGTCCGACTGTCTCGACTGTCTATGTCCGACTGTCTGTGTCCGACTGTCATGTCCGACTGTCTGTGTCCGACTGTCGACTGTCGTGTACGACTGTCTGTCTGTCCGACTGTCTCGTGTCCGATGTCTATGTCCGACTGTCTATGTCCGACTGTCTGACTGTCCGACTGTCTATGTCCGACTGTCTATGTCCGACTGTCTATGTCCGACTGTCTCGTGTACGACTGTCTCGTGTCCGACTGTCTATGTCTGACTGTCTATGTCCGACAAGAGGCTGGGAAAAAAAAACGATAAAGAATAAACGAGTTGTGTTGTTGTTCTTCTTCTCCGTCTGTTCTTCTTCTTCTTTGTCTCTGAGTCGGACTCGTGTTTTGTGTTTTCACCTTGAAGACTCCGGCCGTGCAAACGATGGCGAGGAACGACGGGAAAAACGGAGCCAGGATCTCCATGAACATCGCCACGTCGTTCAGAACGTCTGCGAAGAGTCTGACGATGAAGGAGAGAAAGAAAGAGAAGGAGAGAGAGAGAGGGAAAGAGGGAGAGAAAGAGGACAACGAGAAGGAGGAAGAGAAAGTAGGGGAGGAGGAGAGAGAGGTGAGGAGAAGAAAGAAGGAGAGAGAGACAGAGTGAGGAGGGGGCAGAAGACAAAAGAGAGAGAGGAGGAAAAAGAGAAAAAGGAGGACAAGGAGAGATAGGAGGAGGAGGAAGAGAAGGAGGAGAGGGAAGAAGGGGAAGAGGAGAGAGAGGGAAAGAGGAGGAGGAAGAGAAGAAGGAGGAGAAGAAAGAGGGAGAGGAGGAGGGGAAGAGAGGAGGAGAAGAGAGAGGAAGAGAAAAAAGGAGAGGAAGAGGAGAACAAAGGGGAGGGTGAGAAAGAGAAGAAGGAGGAGAGGAGAAAAAGGAGAAGGAGAGAGAGAGAGAGAGAGAGAGAGAGAGAGAGAGAGAGAGTTACAGGAAGAGGAGGAAGAGGAAGTGAAGAAAGGGACAAATGTCAGATTACATTCATTTAGTTTAATTTAGTTGTGGAGAGTTTTGGTGGTTTCTCTCTCACCTCCATCTCTTGGCCTCAGAGTCGAGTTTGGTTCTGGAACAAAACAAAAAAAACAAAAAACAAAACATCAACACAAAAAAAGAAGAAGAAATGTTCAGCAGGAGCCAGAAGAGAACCACAAACTACAGAACCACACCACAAACTACAGAACCACACGACAAACTACAGAACCACACGACACAAACTACAGAACCACACCACAAACTACAGAACCACACCACAAACTACAGAACCACACCACAAACTACAGAACCACACGATAAACTACAGAACCACACCACAAACTACAGAACCACACGATAAACTACAGAACCACACCACAAACTACAGAACCACACGACAAACTACAGAACCACACGATAAACTACAGAACCACACGATACAAACTACAGAACCACACCACAAACTACAGAACCGCACCACAAACTACAGAACCGCACCACAAACTACAGAACCGCACCACAAACTACAGAACCGCACCACAAACTACAGAACCACACGACAAACTACAGAACCACACCACAAACTACAGAACCACACCACAAACTACA